CAACACACAACAACCGAAAAGTTTCCCAACAAAACAAAGTTTTTGTGAATGCCGAAATGATACTGGTGAAATTTCAGATTTTTTACCTGCACACCACAATTTCTCATCCTCAACGTCACGCAAGAACTGGTAAGCTCGCTTTTTGCGTTCCAACTGACGGCGTCGATCTCCAAGCGGAGCCTGCAGACGTTGCAGTTGCTCCTGCACTGCCAGACGATGTGCTTTGATTGCCTCAACCTCCTCCGGATGCATTTCTTCAAGTTGTGGCTCCATTTGCTGAACGTAAAACGGTGAGAAATTTCAAGCATGGTAAGAAAGCTAGAACAGTATGCACTTCTTTAGAACCTTGTAAAATAGCGGGTAATACTAAATTCAACGGAAATTGGCAAAGTAGAGCAAAAATTCGGGAGCGAAGATGCTAAACTACGAAAAAAAAAAACCACATCTCAAGCTCAACGGACTCAAAATGAGAAGCGAGAGAACACATATTCGCTGACTCATGTGATTTGCTAACAACCACTATCGGTAAATCAAAGTCTGAATAATTCATTTCCGACAAGTTCTCGATGAATTCAGCAGTGCAGATTTTTCAATAACTTATTCATAAAACGTGAACTTTGTTTAGCGCGCAAAACGAGAAAATACTAGCTGCTGCAGCGGAGCGATAAAACAACAAAGAAAGAGCCCTGATGATAAACTATTCAAGTATGGGCGTACTTGTAACGAATCCATCTGTGCGGCTCGTTTCACCATCTCACTTTCGATTAACTGCTGCCTCTGCATGGCTACGTTAACTGTTGTCAGATCCTGACCTGTATCTTCGCTTGTCATCTGTTGCTGTAATTGCTCTGCCCATTCCTACAATGCAAAAGCTTGTTTGACAAGAGACCTGCCAATTCGCGACCTCTAGGATATGTGGTAACACTGTATCTCAAGCATTCCAAAAAATCACACCTTCATGTCAGAAATGCTCTGCACATAGAGCTGCTGGCGATTAGCATCAAACAATTTTTGTCCTTTTTCTTCGGTAGTTTTCTCAAGCTGCTCCCACTGCACTGATAGGTCAGCAATTTGCGGATCGATGGTACCCAGAAACTCCGGTTTCTCCTCAGCAAGTTTAACAGCAGCATGACGAAGCTGCTCAAGCCGTTCACGATTCGACTGCAACTCCGACTGGAATGCTTGATGCCGCATAAATTTCGATGTTATTGTC